GACTGATCGGAGCCAACCCTACACCACTACAAAGTGATGAGAGCGGTCGAAGCAGCTTTTACCCGAGATGACCGGGATCGAATCCACAGGGAGCTAGAAGTGGGAATTGGATTCCTATCTAAACTAGAGATGTGTAGTGCTCTTAATTACTCTTCCAATCATCTTTTGTTTGAATATTACTTCTAATATTTTGGCAAATAATAAGCTAAATTAAACTACTAATGATTGCTCGTAGGGTTTCTTAATTAGTTAAAGAGGCACTAGGGAAGTAACACTCTCCTAGGTGAATACTTGACGAGATCTAAAGCCTAAGACAAAGAAGTTATGTTGGGGACTGAGATATAGCCAATGCACGGAATTACTCACTCTATACCTCTCAGTAACTTGAGTGACTTTTCCCTAATTGACTTTCTCAAGACCAATTGGGTGTCAAAATTGTGCAAGCAATATAGGCTCAAGTCAGGTATTGCTATTTCTAGGTTTAACCCTTTAATTGGGGCTATCAATATCTTGATTACACCCCAATTCCTTGTTGGACTGATTTTGCTAGACTCAAGATCTCTTTCTCAAGAAGGGCCCAAGTCAAATAGGCACAAATTAGTGTTTGCAACCACTAATTCAACATGGAAAATACAAATCAGTCCAAATATTAACTACCCATAAATATCTAAGCCTTAAATAAAAAGATCCATTAAATACCCATACTAGGGTTGAACAACAACCCTAGCTAATGGGTCTAGCTACTCATAATAATAATGAAAGAAAATAGAGAAATAGATGAAGAATAACCCATAAGATTTAATTACAAGCTAATAATTGAAGATTCAATGATAAAACCACTATAAAATTACTCAAAATATTCAAAAACCATCGTTCACGTGCTGAGATGAAAGTTAGATTACAAAAGATGACCTAAAAATGTGAAAAGAAACTATTTATACTAAGCCGAATTTTCTGGATAAAAATACCCCTGACGAGGTAGTGCGGTCCGCACAAAATGCACCGCGGACCACAATGAGGCTTCTTGGCATAATTGAGCATTCTCCGAATCTAGCCACCGCGAGCCACATAAAATGCACCGTGACCGCGGTGGCTTCAATGCGGTCCGCACAAAATGGCTTGCGGACCGCGCTGTCTTCAATTCCCATTTTTAACTCTTTGAATCTCATCTCCACGGACCCCCCAAAATGAAGTGCGGCCGCGGTGAGGCTACTGCGGTCCGCACAAATTGGTTTGCGGCCGTAGTGCTTGAGTTACCAAAAACTGCACCTCTCTGAATCTCCTCACTACGGACCGCTCAAAATGGATTGCGGCTGCAGTGGATCTGTTTTAACTGTGCTTGGACTTGTTCTTGGTACTTGTGCATGTTTCACTCCTTTTTGAGCTGGTTTTGACTAATTGTCACTTTTTTTACCAAACCCTGCAAACAAATACAACATGTAAGCCTTTGGGACTATTTTGTATATATTTTAATCAAAACTCAAGTAAAAAGGAGTGTAAAATGAACTAGAGTCCCTAGTTATCAACTCCCCCAAACTTAAGCTTTTGCTTGTCCTCAAGCAAACAAAGTAAGACCCACCTTTTAAGAATAAATCCAAGAAAATTTTGCTGACCTAAAGTGACTTCATCTAGCATCAATTGGGACTAACAATTGTCCTCAATTCAAATGAATCATTAATAACATTCGACCTTCTAAACACCATGGATTTAGTGCGACACAAGAGCATCAAGAGTTGACTCAGCCCATCAAAGAAACTCTTTCTAATACTTTGGTCATTGTGGAACCCAAACTTATACTCCTCAACTTTCCCTAAGCGACCCTCATTTTTAGATTGTAGCACTCAGAACGAGGATTGTGGAAAACACACTCATCTCTCTCAAAGAAAGGTCACAAGTCCCGCTCTAAGTACCATAAGCTTGCCCCTTATGTGACTCACCACTAATGTATACTTCATTCAACTCAAGATCATATAGGGCTTTTATGGAGATATAGTGAAGGCTTTTGGTTTAGGGTAGGAAATATTTGGTCTAGGTGGGTTCCATCTTCCCTTAAGCACTTCATTTGCTTCATTTTGGCACACATTCTCTTGACTTTTTGAGTCATTTAACTTCTTTCTTAGGGGTTAGAGAGACACACTGTCACTCTTTCTTGTTCATTTCAAACCTTTTTCTCCTTTCTCAACTTTCCACACCTTTCATCTCTTTACTTTTATTGAATCCCTTCATTTTTTCTACATTGATCATTCTTTTTGACTTTTTGATTTTCTTTCTTTTTCATTCCCTTTACTTTTCTTTATTTTATACCTTTTACCACTTTGTTGCATTCCTCGTCTCTCCCCCCAAACTTATGCTTTTGCCTTGTGCTAAGGAAAGATCGGGTGCCAAGAGAAGGTATATTTAGAACGGGTAAAGGCTTGTATCGTGGTTTTTTTTAAAGAAAAAGGTCTATGGCTCAAAAGGATTGACTAGGGATATTATCATTGGTAGGCTATGGAAGTTTTCAAGACATCATTCGGATCAAGAAGAGCTTATAATCACATCTCAAGTCAAACTACACTTAGAATTTTGCCTAGACAAACATTCAGGACAAGTTCTAGACTAATGGCTCGGGACTTGGACTTACAATTCAAATTCTCACCACACAAGCTATAGGATTGCTAAAAAGACAGAGTCGGGGGCCCACAACAACCTTAGCTAAGATTTGAGCAACATGAATGGTCCCGAAAAATCACTTGATGATTATCGGCCAACACAAGAGTCTCAAGGTCACAACTTTTACCATCCTATACACAACAATTTGTTTTTGACTAGAGGATCAAAGGCAAATGTGTTAGGCCCAAGTGAAGCTTTTCTTGAGGCACCCTTACTAAATAGCTACTATTTTCACAAAAGCAAAAGAAAACAGACTCAAACCCTTAAGAAGGTTGTCATGCCATCCATCATCGGGAAGAGCCACCCGATTCACACAAATTCCACCTTTGGAAAGAACCGTGGCATTTTTTTTTTGGTAATTAAATTTTCTATTTACCAGGAAAAATATTTACAAGTAATTCAAAAAAACCCGTACAATCCGTTCTAGACTTCTCTAATCCCCTCCCTCCTCTATACTTCTACTATCCCCTACATGGGTACCAATTCAAACTATTCAGCCAGTTTTCTACATTTTTGTTGCTTCTACAGTGGGCTTCCTGTACAATATGCTTACACAGTATCTGCCATCCTCTTTCTCTTGCTTGGAATATTCTTTCATTTCTTTCTTGTCATACGTAATACACAGTTGCTGCTAGTATCATCTTGAACACCTCTGTTTTCCCATTCCTTCTTTTAGTAAACTGAATTGCCCATAGCAGTTCTTGTTCCCAGCCCTGTGGTCTCCTGCTTATCCCTTGCCAGCTTAACAGTCTGCTCCATAGTTCACTTGAGTATCCACATTCAAAAAACAAGTGCTGGATACTCTCCCTTCCTGTTTTGCATAGCACACATTTGTCCTCTACTTGCATACCCCATTTTTGCAGTCTATCCTTCGTGTACAATTTGCCATGAGCCGTCAGAGTTAGCATGAAGGACCATCTAGGACAACCTGCATTTTGGCAAACTACTTTTCTCCAGCTCACTTTTTCAAAATTCCCTCGCAGCCTGTGGTAAATTGCCTTGATGCTGCATTTCTTCATTCTCTTTACTTCATCATAGCTAAAGCCAGCTTTTTCAAGTGTCTCCTTTGCCTTCAAAATCTTTCCCACAAACCATGATGCCTGTTTTACTTGTATTCCCCATACTTCTTTGCCCTTGATATAGTAGCTATGTATCCATAGCTTATTTTTCTCCCTACATAAATCCCAGTAATGCTTGCACACAGCTGCCTTGTTCCATAGTGCAATCTGCATGATGTTGAAACCTCCAGCAGTCTTAGGCATGCAAATTTTTTCCCATGCTAACAGGGCCTTTTTTGACAAATTGCTCTCACCTGTCCAAAGAAAGCTTCTGCAGATGGATTCAATAAGTTTTGTAATCCTTTTGGGCATCACAAAGATCTGTGCCCAATATGTCTGAACAGCAAAAAGCACACTTTTTATGAGCTGTATTCTGCCAGCATAGGATAGGAACCTAGTTGTCCATGATGTTATTCTTCCTTCAATCTTCTCTATCAGTGGTTGGCATTGTGCAATGGAAATTCTTTTTGTGCTTAATGGCACTCCAAGGTATCTCACTGGTAGCTCCCCCTTCTGTATTCCCAAGTAATTAAGTATCTCATCTTGGACCCCTTGTGTAATGCCTCCACAGAACAAAGAGCTTTTGTTCTTGTTGATCTTCAAACCTGAAGCTTTTGAGAATTCTTGGAAACCACTGAATATGAGCTGGACTGACATCAAATCTCCCCTGCAAAACAGTAATAAATCATCAGCAAATCCAAGTTGCAAGATTTGCATCTTTGCACACTTGGGGTGGTAGTTGAAATTTGGGTCCTTGTTGAGCATTTTCAGCCTTCTTGTTAAGTACTCCATTGCAAGCACAAATAAGTAAGGGGATAAGGGGTCCCCTTGCCTTAAACCTCTTTGTGCTTCAAATGGCCTAGTTTGAGCTCCATTGATCAGAATTGTGTAAGTGACTGTCCCAATGCACCTCATTATCCACCTAACAAACTGAGCAGGAAATGCTAAAGCTTGCAACATTTGCTCCATAAAATCCCACTCTATTGAGTCATATTCTTTCTGCATGTCAAGCTTCATCATACACCTAGGTGATACTCCTTTCCTCCCATACCCTTTGACCAACTCATGGCTCAATATGATGTTATCAGTTATAGCTCTTCCTGGGACAAAAGCTGCTTGGGATTTAACAACCAAGACATCCATCACATATTGAAGCCTTTTTGTTAGTACTTTGGAGATCACTTTGTAGATCACAATGCAACATGATATAGGTCTAAACTCTTTAATGCTTGTTGGGTTTTTGACTTTAGGAATTAGAGTTATGGCCATGCAGTTCAGTGGCTTATACATCTATGCTGTTTCAAAGAACTCCTCCACTGCCATTGTCACTTCATCACCTATACTCCTCCATGCCTTTTTGAAGAAGACTGCATTAAAACCATCATATCCTGGGGCTTTTAAATCATTGATCTCCTTCAGTGCCTCTCCTATTTCTTCCTTAGTAACTTTGTTGATCAGTTGCAGTTGTTGTTCTCTATTCAGGGTATACCCCATTTTGATGACATTAGGATCAATAGCAGGAATGGCTTCATCTTTTGATCCCAGAAGTGTCCTATAGTACCCTATGACTTCTGCCTCTATATCATCATCAAGCACCAACTGTCTCCCTGTATCATCAACTAGCATTTGAATTCCATTTGTACTGTTCCTTTGCTTCATTTGTGCAAAGAAGTATCTTGAATTAGAGTCTCCCAGTTTTAGCCATTGCACCCTTGATTTCTGCTTGTATACACTTTCCTCAATTTTCACCCATTTTTCTAACTCCTGCTCCAGTTGTTTTTCCTTATCAATTAGTTCATTGTCTTGCTTCCTGTTACTCATATCTTCCTGCACAGTCTGCAATTCATTCCTTGCTTCTTTAATCTTCCCCTCCACGCCTTTGTAGTGCTATGTATTTAGCTCTTTAACAAGCTCTTTTGTTTTCTTTAGCTTTTGCCATACTTGCTGCATTTTACCAGTTTCACTTCCCTCTTTCCAGGCCTTCTCCACTTATTGCAGAAATTGTGGATGTTCAGCAATACAATTAAAGAATCGGAATGGACTGCTTTTCTTCCTGTTCACCTGTGTAATCATCAACTTCAAAGGAGAATGATCAGATATTAATGGTTCTAATACCTGAATCTTCAAGGCAGGCATATTCATCATCCAATCTATATTTACCAGTCCCCTATCTATCCTGCTATATACATGGTTATTTGTCCATGTGTATTCCCTTCCCATATATTGCAACTCACTCATCCCAATATCCATCATGTATTCCTTAAAATCTTTCACTTCCATGTCCTGTACTTCTGTTCCATGCTGCCTATCATTTACATGGAGGATTGCATTAAAATCACCCATTGCCAGCCAGGACCCTTGTTGCATGCTATTGATCTGCCTTAGCTTAGCCCATAGAGGTTCTCTGTCTTTAATAGTATGCAGCCCATAAACAGCTGTGAAACTGAATTTCACTGGCTTTGACTTCATACTAATTTGCCCATGAATAAGTTGATCATCAATTTCCTTAGGATCAAAAATGTAAATTCTAGGATCCCACATTACCCAAATCCTTTCTTTTTTCCCTGTTCTGGCATTAGAAATTGATTCCCATCCTGGAGCTATCTTTCTAATTATATCTTCTGCTTTTATATCTTTCACTATATGCTCTACTATAGCTATTACAGCCTTATTATTTATTCCGACAAACTCCTTTACTTCTTTCTGCTTATAAGTTTTATTTATCCCTCTTACATTCCAAGTAACAACACTCACACTGGAATGAAATAAGGATATTGAGAATACCCCTGATCTCCTTGGCTACTGGTCTGACTAGGCCCTGCAGCATCACTTCTTTGCTCATACATCAAGCTCTCAAATGTGTTGTTTTCATCTATGCTTTGAACTGCCTGTTGCTTTGCTATGCTTGGCCTTGCAGCTGATTTCCCTGCTACTGTGACCCATCCTGCTTCTCTACTTTGTGTTCCTTCTCTCCTTTGTTCTGGCTCAGTCCTTTGTTGTTCTGAGCTTACTTTTATCTGATCTTTTTCCTTCTCCTCATTTCCTTCTTCTTTCTCTGCTCTAAACCATACCATCCTTCCCTTAGTTATCTTCTTCTGTTGTAAATTTCTTTGCTGCTGCATTGGCTTCTTACTTTCAATACATTCATGCCCTATTTTCAAGCATTTACTGCAGTACTTAGGTTCCCAATCATACTCCACCTCCTGCATCATTTCCTTTCCTTTTGGATCTTGAAGTTTCACTTGTTTAGGCAGAGGTTTAGTAACATCCATTTCCACTAGTAACCTTGCATATGAGATCCTTCCTGCTCCTGTCGTACATTCAGCAGCATAAATAGGATTTCCCAAGGTACTTCCTATTTTGCTTAATGCAGTCATACTCATAAATTTACAGGTAGATTAGGCAGCTTAACCCACAGTGGAATAGTTTTTAGTACTTCATCATGTAGGCTAAATTCCTCCGACCAAGCCTTCATAATCATTGGTCGATTATTAATCGTATGTGGCCCTGAGAACAATACTTGATCCCTTTCCTCAATGCTACTAAATCTTATAATGAAATAGTCTTCATTATGGTAGTAGATCTGGGGTTTTGTCGAGTACTTACCCACAGAGTTCACAAATCTGTCCATAGCTCCAATCGATGGTGATTCACCTATGACATATAAGACCAAAGCATTTTTCCATTTAGCAGTCTCCTGCTCCACATCTTCCGCTTCTATTTTCGCAATTTTCTCTCCATTTTGCACTATTGGAGCTATGAATTTCAAATTCATGCCCTTCATAGCCAATTTGTTTCCTCCAACCACATTTGCCCATGTTTTGGTCACAGCCTCAACCTGATTCCCTTCATCTTTGTTCTGCTCAACAGTACCTTGATTGCATGGTACTGTTCCATTAATTTTCAGCTCACTTCTTTGCTCTTTGCTTCCCGACTCATCTCCTCTAGTATTGACTACCATTGGAGCTGGGGTGTTCATCCCTTCCTTCATTTTTCCTTTTTTCCTAGCTAAATCTCCTTCTTCACTGTTTTCTTCAACTTGTAAGTTCTTCGAGTTAGATCTGGGTTCTTCAATTCGTATCCCTTTTGGGGACACAAACAGCTCTAGCACCGCATTCCTTGTTGCTGAGGATCGTTGTTCATCAGTAGCATTCTTTTGCTGGTTCCGCTTAGGTCGTCCCCTCCCTCCCATGGCTTCCTGGCGCAGGTTAGCTGACCATGCTATCTTAAGCCGAAGAATCAGTTAGAGAGAGTACGTGCTAGAACCGTGGCATTAAGAAAACCAAAGGCTTATTGAATGCAAAACTCAAAATAAGAAGCTATCAAAATGAAATAAGAAGCTATGAAAGAGAAAATACGGAAAGTAGAATGAATATGTACAAGAGGGGATTTTTATGAATATATATAAGGGGGGAATGAATATATACATCAGAAAGTAACTTTATATACAGACCAAAGTTGCAAAGTACGAAAAGTAAACTAGAATGGTAAAATTATGTACATACCAAAAGTAAAAAGAAAGCATAATAAAAAGAAAGTAATGTCATATATACAACCAAAATCATCCAAAATAGGGCCTACCCCCTCAAATGAGAGCTAGCATTGTCCTCAATGCTAAGTAACAAAAATAAGAATAATAAAATATAGAGAGTAAAGAGAAACTCCCTATTGGCCCTCCGTCTGCATAGGATCATGAGTCTGGGTCCCTGGGTCCTCGTACTGCTCGGGAACCTGTGACTGGCTCCCTGTAATCTGTGTCTCCACTAGGTCCTGTGCCTGTACTGGGTCCTGGGCTTGCGATGGGGCCTGGGGCTGGCTAGAGGAACCTCCCTGTGGCTCCTCTAACTCTATCACAGTATCATCAGCACGGGGAATCACCCTCTTCCTCTTCGCTGGCCTCTCTATCTCCTGCTCCGGCTCAGGCTGGGCTGCTGGAGCAGGGTCATGCAGTAAAAGGTCCAAAGGCAAGTGATTAGCCTTCAATTTCTCTACCTCCACCCTCAACTCCTTCACGGACTCCTTCGATGCCCGAGTCTTTCTCAATTTCTCTGTTTCGTTGGTCAACTCCTTCAATGCTTTTTCGTGTGAACCCACAGCGTCCTATATTAATTGCTGGTTCTCCAGGAGCTTCTTCTGGTTCTCCAGAAGCTCCTTGAGAGTGTCCTCCACTGACTGTGGGACCTGTGGTGGAGGAGGTGCATATTGGGCTGCCACCGAAGTAGAAAGCACAGACAGCTTAGAAGTGGCTGCCTGCATCCAGTTGTTGATACTGGCAAGGGTCTGGCTCAAGCGGTGGGCACTCAAAGGGTATGCTGCATATGAGGGAATATCTAGAACTGTAGAAGTGGAGGGTCCTGGGGCCATGTCTGGGGCAGCTGAAGGAGGCTGAGTAGGAGCTGCTACTACTACTGGCTCTTCAGACTGGCCAGTTAAAGCAGTGGTTTTTCCTTTAGGGTCCTTGGGGTTGTCAGGACCCTTGGTGCTGTACCAGGAGAAAGGTGCCTTGGGTTTCACTTTCACATCAAATTTTCTCTTCTCCATATCTTGATCCTCAAAATACATGGTCAGGAAATTTGGGAAGCGGTAGGATCTATCACCTTCGTTCACCACCCGTGTAATCACCCTGGACATCACATTCCCGATGTTGATCTGGTACCCCGCCATGATAGATGCCACCAATATAGCACGGGATATAGGAAGAGAGTTATCGTGGGTGGTGGGGTCTAGCCTGCTACAAACAAATGTCTCCCACCCTTTTGCTTCGAAGTTCAGGGTTCTCCTCAGAATTTTTACTCCCGCTGTCAACCATGCTGAGGTAGTACCTGGGATTGCCAAGTACTCAGCTAACCACGGATGGTCATCCTCCCCCAAAGCTACCTTCTCTAAGCATAATGTCTCATCCTCCTCCGGGAAGACCAAGTAGTCATTGATCGTTTTTCTATCAAACTTTACTTTCAAATTTCGCACCTTGGTCACTATAAAGCCCTTTTTGATGTGGGCAACATTCGTGTAAAACTCCTTCACCAAGTGATCATTTGCATCCTCAACGTGGCCTATGAAATAGTCTCGGCCTGCTCTTTCTCTGATCTGCCTCAGCGCATTGGGGTTGTGAGGCAAAAGGTCCTTTGTAGTGAATTTCCGCTCAGGTATCAACTTCCTCTCGGGCCAAACATTCTCTAAACTTGTGGTAGGCCACTTCACTCGCGAATCTATCTTGCCATGCTTCCGATTTCCTGGTTCTCTCTACCCCTCCTACTTGGGGCTCACCCCCTCCTTCTTCTTCTACGGGATCCTCACCGGGTATTGAAGCTGTAGGTAAGGTAGAAGGGGCACTGTCACTACCCGCAACTGAGCCCTCAGATGACTTAGAAGAAATTTGCACTAATGCTTGGGCAGTAGGGGTGCCCGGAGGTGTACCTGTTCCTCTCCGGTAGTCAGGAACATATTCTGGCACGGAGTCTGAGTCGGATGCCCCCCGGGAGGGCACATACTCACTTCCCAAATGGGAAGAAGCTCTATCACCAGCCCTTATTATCTTCCTGGTATCTTTGACAGCTTGCCGGACTTGGGGAGTCAATTTGATCATACCTTTTCCTCTACCCCGGGAGGACTCTCCTTTTCCTTGTTGTTTTCTACCACCGCCTCGTGATTGAACCATTGTATGCAAGTGGAATTCAGTTGAAGCTTGTTAGTATCACAGTATCAGACGAATAAAAAAAGAAAACAATTGCAGACACAGAAGAAAATAGTTGCAGACTAGGGATCGCACAAAATATAGTGCGGCCGCAAAGGGACCACCGTGGACCGCACAAAATAGCACCGCGGTCCGTATTGAGGTGGGGATCAGACTACCCACACTCTAATAAAGGCCACCATGGACCGCACAAAATGGTACTGCAGTCCGCATTAAGGCACCAAGGACCGCACGAAATCCACCACGGCCGCGGTCCTTAATTCTCCACTTTCTGAAGTTTCACCACCGTGGTCCGTACAAAATGGGATTGTGGACCACAGAGAAGCACCGCGGACCGCAATAAATCCACCGCGGACCGCGGTAAACCAAAACCAGTAATACCAATCTAAGGTTTTAGATTTTGCTCAATTTAAGCCTAAATGCACATATTATGATCCCACTAGGTTGTTAATCATGGTATTTAACTAATTAATCCTAAACTAAACACAGTATGTAACCCTAAGCTAAAAATTTAAAGAAAAAGGGAAGAAGAAGAAGAAGAAGAAGAAGAAGAAGAAGAAGACGTATTAAATAATCAATTAAAAGAAAATAAACACAATTAAAGACTAAGGGAAGATTAAAAATACGAGTAACAGGATGCAACACAGATGAATGAGAGTGAGTGATTGAATTCGTGCAGTTAGGGCTTGGGTGAACAGTATTTTTTTACTATTTGAGAGCAAAGGATCGAAAAGTTTTAAATGAGGGCCTCAAGTCCTATTTAAAGAAAAAGGACCTGGGGCCCGCTTCACCTACCCACTGCGGACGGCACAAAATGGCACAGCGGTCCGCGCTAATCAGAAGTCAGAATCATTGGGGAGATGTCCACTGCGGACCGCAAGAAATGCTTCGGGGCCGCAGTGGTCCGTCGCGGACCGCACAACATGCATTGCGGCCGCGGTGGCAAACTTCAGACACCCCTCATTTTTGACCTATCCACTCTGTGGACCGCATTAAAATGTTGCCCCCACACTAAGGCCTTTGAGGCCACACAAAATGCAATGCAGCCGCAGTGCAAACTTCAGAGAGTGTACATTTTTTCTCAACTTGTTCCTGCACTGCATCAAAACAATCCTACACACATCTCACAACCAGTTGGTCAAAAAGTAAATCCTACACTAAAACGAATATCAAAGACAAACAAAAAGAAAGACACATGGGTTTCCTCCCAAGAAGCGGCTGATTTAACGTTGTGGCACGACGTAGATTACCATCAAATCACTTTAGATGGAGCAGTGCCACCACGTGGCTGTCATCAATTTTTCCCAGGTAGTGCTTGACCCTGTGCCCATTAACTCTGAAAACCTCCCCATTTTTGTTCTTCAACTCAAGTGCACCAAACGGAGTCACAAAAACCACTTCAAAAGGTCCACTCCATTGCGACTCAAGCTTTCCCGAAAACAAACGTAACCGAGAATTGAACAAGAGAACCAAATCACCCACTTTGAACTCCTTGCCACGAGCATATTTATCATGAAGGTACTTCATCTTGTCCTTGTACAAGGACGAACTGGAGTAGGCATGGAATCAGAATTCATCAAGTTCATTAAGCGGCTCCACACGAAGATTTGCTGCCACATCCAATTCAAGATTCAGCTTCCTCAAAGCCCACATGGACTTGTGCTCTAACTCAACCGGTAGATG